GCTGAACAAAGCCTCACCATCATTATTATTGAATGCTTGTCACAGCGTTAGTGTTTCAAAACTGTCTGGTAAAATGTTCAGCAGAATCAGTGGCATTGTAGAAGCTTTAGCAGGATCAGATTAATTAGAAAATAATCTTGAGTTTGCTCTTGTTTGAAGTAATAGCAGAAAATTTAAAAACTGCACATACTGGTCTGGCTTTCTGGAGAAGTCTCTTGTCTCTTTAGTTTGTGGACGAAGGTGACAGGAGATGCCTACAGCTTCCTTTCGGGTGTATTTAGAATTATTAAATCTACTTGCAAGAAGCAATCTGGAATAACCACCCAGTTAATTACTATTATCTTTTTTTTTTCCCCCTGGGTTTTATCTTGCTCTTTGTTCTTCGTAGGTTGTGAGAGCCAAGTATAGAATATACCCAGGAGTACCCATCCTGTAACTATGGGCTTGGATAACAACCACTGCATCTTTGTGCTTTTTAAAGGCTCTTGTGTTCCAATGAGAAATGTATCCAGCTGACATTTTAAGTGGTACTGAGGCTTTTCTTTATCTCAGACACTGTCAAGGTTCTTATTACATAGCTTACCAGTGTATGAATTTCCTTTCTGAGTAGTTTATCTTTTGTATGCTTGGTGACTGCTGTGTGTTTTCACTAATGATTTGGAAACAGTAAGTATGTCCATGTATATATATATAAATTGTGTATACTGTGGTTTCTTTGAATACAAGGGTATCTGCTTCCTGTTATTATTTTTTGGTTTTGTCTTTCTGTTGAAAAGACTATGTTGAAATCCGTTTTCTTTCTCATAGGTTTATTGGCTACCTGCTAATAGAAATTTCTGTTTCTTGATATTTAGGTTATAAGTCCTGAGAAATACGATATCAAGTGTGCGGTCCCAGAAGCAGCAATAATTTTAAATTCTTGTGTGGAACCCAAAATGCAAGTTACTATCACACTGACATCTCCAGTCATTCGAGAGGAGAACATGAGGGATGGAGGTTGGGAAGTTGTTAAAGATGTTACTACTTTCTCACCATTTATTCTGCTTAAGATGGCATTAAGGTCCTGGAAGGCAACATGCTGGCACATGTATTTGATGAAAACCTTGTTTTTCAACAATCAGTCTTGATAGAGACAGTTGGTTAAAATAAATGATGTATGATGCATTTATTTAATTTTTAAAATTTCTAACTTTATGTCCAACCTCAGCTTTCTGGAAAAGGTACAAACTTGACTATTTTTTCCCTTCTTTTACAATTATGTGGAAAACCTATGCGGAAAACTAAGTAAATTATAGCAAGTGGCTATGAAGTAGCTACCTAGAGCAGTCCTGCCCTAAGAGAAAGATTGTGTGGTTTTAGAACATCAAATCACAGGTTTTTGGGTTTGAACTGTATCAGAATTACCATCACTTACATATTTGAAATAGCAGCACTACTTAAAATGCACTTTTGTAATGCTTTTGATGGTAACAGTGCTTCTACCTTTAAAAGACGATGCGATTTTTTCCAGCTCTCTGAGGTTGTTTGGTCTGGAGTGCTTTTTGAGTATATTTAGGCTCCTGGTATTAAAATCAGTCGTCTTGTCTAACTGGCAAACCCAGACTAGTAGAATAAGAAATGGCTTTGTCATTGAGCTGAAGCAGAAGGTGGAGCTTGTAAATCAATTTAGATTTCCGAAGTCCACAGTTTCTCTGGTGCCAGCAGTGTTGCTTTAGGGTCTGTTCTGTAACACTTTCAAAGCTCCAAAAGCTTTTAAGCCAACAAGCATGATTAATGTCTGCAGTACATTGGTTCTTTTTGTTTACGGGTCAGATAAAATTAACTTTTGTTTCCTTTTAATCCTGTATTTTCATAGTTGAAAGAGAACATGGCAGACAGGGTTCTGGTGTTTGACAGTGAACCTACATATAGGAAATCTGAGGCTATCTTAACACTTTTCATGTGCAGGTTGAAAAAAATCTGTGTGTATGTATACATGCACTTGTGTATATACGTATTTATATAAGCCGTGGAGGGTTTTTTATTTCATCTCATCGTTACATGTCCTCTAAAATACTTCAGGTCTTTATATTGCATTAGTAAATGTCCTGTAGCTGTGACTAGTGCATTGTAATCAAGCTGTGTTAACAAAGTCATCCTGCATAATCAGAAAGAAAAATTTCAAGGTGCATTCTCTGATTTGGATGACTTCTGAAGAGTCTTTAAGAGTGCTTTGTACATGATATTTAAGCTGTGCATATTATTCCTAACTGTGAAGGCTTTGTACATGTACTGTCACACCCAACCAATCTTACTTGGTTTTTTGACAATCTGAGTGTAACATGACTCTTGGTTTGTCTGTGCTAAATTCAACTTCAGATATTATTTGTTTACTTTTACGTAAACTTAAGTGAGTTTACTTAAAGTTGATTTATTTAAGAATACTTTAAGGATTTGATTATTAAATTAGCTTAACCATTAAATGAAGTTAACCTTAAACACCACGTTTATTCCTTAATGTACTAATATTGATTCCTGCCACAATACTCAATTTCAGTTGAGTAGTTTCTGCCCTAAAATTCCATGATGTGGACTAAAAATAAAATAAATTTCAAATTACTGCCATCAATCCCTTAATTTATGCCACCTGAAGGAAACAAATCTGTATTTTTGTCTGACCCACTCTTGAGTTAAAGTGATCGTTGTGAGTTTATTCACTGCTGAATGCAGTACTGCCTCTAGGCAAACAAAATCAAGTTAGGTTTCTCTTCAAGACACTGAGCAGTATAAAATGGATGTGCAGAAAAGTTCACTTCTGAAACTAGAGCAAATAGAAGACTGAATTGCAAATTATTGCAGCAAAGAAGGCCTTATTACAAAGACTGCCGCTTATTTGCTGCAGAGTAACAGTATGTGTTTGTGTTTCTTCTTACTGCAGCTTCTCATGCTCTGTGTCTTAACAATGGTTTAAAGTTTTCTGGTTTTTTAGCCCGCTTGGGGAGCTAGTTCAGGTGGTAAGGAAGGCTTTACCGGAAGAACCAGTTTGAGTAAAGATGAGACTGAGACTTGCATGTGGAGTAGAATCATGTTCGATGTGTAATAATCCCATTACATGATAAAAGGCTAAAAAAATACAGTGAAATAAAATTGTTAACCGCATAGCTACTGTTCCTTACAGTATTGTGCGTTTGACAGTTTGCTGAATCTGATATATTTCAAGTGGTCTAACCCCTGCTGTGGAATCTTTCCTTCAGCAAACGAGGTGTCTCTATTTGTAAACACATATATGTATGCGCGTGTGTCTTTTTTATCCTTAGCTAACAGCCCCGGTCCAAAGCCTTCTAGCAGAGGGACTTGATTCCTGTCAGGGGTTGCTGCCAAGACATCGGAAGGATTTTTGACCAAGGTTTTCTAAAGCTCAGTGTCACACCTGCCATGCTTTATAAAGGAGGGGGTTTGGATGCATAGTTCTAGCATCTGCTGTTACTTTGTGGTTTTTTTTTTCCTTTTCGTCTTTGTCTCTCTCCCAGAATTAAGCAGTGTTCACACTAGTCTTGAAATAGTTGACTGGGTAAAATGTATTTCACATGATAAAACTTACCGAAATTGATACACCTGTTAACTTTTAATGAAGAGGTAGTGTGGACACAGCATGTCTAACTGAAGATTAACCCCTTATATATAGGCTAGTAATAAATCAAGTTATATATGGTAAGAATTTGTGCTTATGTTTTATAAATTAATTCATTTTTTTGTCTTAGCTTAACAGGGTGGTAGGTTATTAGGCATCTGAATTTAGTTAAATAGTCTTTAAGGGGTTAATCCTGAAATGTGAAACAGATGCAAAAATCCACAGATTAAATTGAAGAGTTTCCTTGATAGATTATTTTAAGTCAGTGTATTCTCAGTGCAATAGGTGCCTTGGCAACTTTGAGTCCTTTCATTTCAAGGGTATTTGTGTAATATTTATTAGTGGCACATTTTAGATTGATATTTCCAGCACTGAGTAAGATTCTCTTCTGTGCATTTAAACTAATTATTTTTTAGTAAAATTACTTTTTATATTGGAAGTTTTTCGGTGCTAGACGTAATTGGAGTTTCAAATTATATAGTGAATTATTGTGCTAAAAGTTTGCACAGTGTCACCTATTTGCATATCAGTTTTAGAAGAGTGTATATAATTGACTGATTAGGCTACTAGGCCCAACAACTCTTATTTTTAATTTCTTAACCTTACTTTCCCACTTCTTTCCTGCTGTGGGTTTTCTCTAAATGTTGTCTCTTAAATGCAGGTTGTACTCGTTTCATCAGTTATCCTACCTGGCACCTCTCTTGTATAGATTTGGGTTTGGTTTTGTCTTGTTTTAAAGAAAATACCACCCTAAGTGTCTTCATTTGCTCTGTAAATGCCTTGTTAGTGCACTTTCCACTAGTTAGTTTCCACTTTAACATATAGTTCTTAAGTTTGAATATCAGTGTGAGAAGATACCTGTGGTCTTCTCAGCTTCATTCTTATTTTGAAGTCCTCCCACTTTTAGCAGTGTGCAGAGCAATAAGACTACCCTATAAAAAAATGCTCATATCTGAATGTAGTACTTCAGATTAAATTTATTCATTATCTTGCAAAATCATACCACTGTGTTCATTCATGGCTTTTTAGCTCCCTGTAAGGTATCCTACTTTTTATTTTACATTTGTGTAAAATAGGTGCTTTCAGAGGTGCCTTTCTGCAGCATCCCTAAAAGCTTCTGGTTGCAGGCACGTTTCAGCAGTCTAAATACTTTTTTTTGATTAAATTTTATCCTCTGACTTACCTAAATTTGTATCTTCCTGGAGTAAACTATACTGTTCCATACAGCCAGTGTATGGGATGTGTGAAATGCAGGGGCTTTTTGTTTCGTCTTACCTGGTGCATCACCAGTTACGCTACTAATACACTTTGTTACTACTCACAGTAGCCATTTTCTTAAGTAGTAGACCAAAGAACTTTTAAGTCAATCGCTGCATTATATCTGCAATTTTAAGCCACCCAAGGATACCGTTTCGCATCGTTCAGTGGTTCCAGTTCCGCTGATTAAACTACTTCCAATAGCACCTGTGGTCTCTTGCTTTTTGGTATCAAAGCAATCAGCTTGGCAAGTAAATCCTTTTCTGAACATTCAAATATACAGGATCTACTATATTTTCTTTATCTTTCAGAAATTCTGCTTAGTTCTTTAAATTACTCTTTGCTTTTTCTTTTTTGTGCCGAATCCTAAGTAAAGCAGTCCTTTTTCAGATCCTTCTTTGTATGATAAATGATAGTGAAACACGTATGTTATGGGCCAAGTAATTTTATTGGTGTAAGAGAGGGGATACTAGAAAGTAATGGAACTCTGTAATATTGAAGAACATTTTGCATTCATTTAGTCAGGCTTTCAAAGCAAAATAATTTTGAATTTATGAGAAAAATAACATTACTAAACATCTAGACCTTCTAAGATTTATTATACTTAATTTTTCTTTTAAGAATAGGTCCCAAATAACATGTGACCATTAAAAATTTCAAGAAACTAAGTTTGAATGTTTCTACTCGGTTAAAGTGGATTTTTGTGTTCCTCCTGTCTTGTGTTCTCTGTGCTGGTGCACTGTGTCCAACCATCCTTCCTTCAGTATTTAATTTTAGGGGATATGTGTTTTTCCAGTGTTAGCTGAAATAAAGAAGTACGACGCACTGCATAATCTGCAGTGCATTTGAAAATAACCTCAGAGCTGAAGTGTAATATGCTCTTGATCTTCGTACTGGGTTGATGCCCTAATCCTAATTGAATGGCTTTTGTTGAGCATTTGCATTTGTTGTTCAAGGGTTTAAACTTTAAATGGCATGTGTGACATTGAAGCTACTTTAAGGAAGTGTCTTGCTCACCTGGTCAAACACCCATTCCTCACTGCATTTTGCCAATTCAATCCATTTTAGATGTAACCTCGGGTATGGTGAAAGACCCACCGGACGTCTTGGACAGGCAAAAATGCCTTGACGCTCTGGCTGCTCTACGCCACGCTAAGTGGTTCCAGGTTCGGAACATCATTTTACTTTCTTCTTGTAGCCTTATGAGAGATTAGTTCAGCTGCAATATAAATGTTTAATTGTGTGAAAACACTCGGCGTTGTTCATGCTAATAATACTTAATATTTTCCTGGTCCCTAAATTTAAATGTAGAAGGTTGAGTATGGAGGAACTGCTTTATGCAGTTAATGCTCATTTGACATGATTTTTTTTTTTCTGGTTATTGAGAAGGCGACGTTGAAAGCTTGACTCGCTTGGGGTGATCATATGTTGTATGTTTGTTATATATTCCATAAGGCTGCAGGGTAACTTTGCTTTAAATAATGGAATATGTGTTTAAAGCTTTGTGTTTAGATTTAAGACTTTTTTTTCCTATTTCTTTAAGTGCATTTAAAGGTGAGAAGCAACTGTTTGGTTTAGTGACTTTGCATTCTGGCAAAGGCACAATAAAGAAACCAGACAGGTTCCCTTGACCTTTCAGTCTCTATACCTATTTCTTAGATCTTTACTTTATCCTTTTTATTTCTAATATAGAAAGATACTGTATTTATTGTTACAGATGATCACAGGTCAAAGTGTACAGGGGATCAAGAAAAGTTATTCTTGTATAACCTGTGCACTTTGACTTCTACCACCTTAAATTACTAACCCTGTATAAAATACTGCTGTAAATGGCAGCTCATGGAATAAAATGGTAGAAGGATTTGTTTCAGTCTTGTATCTGAGCTTCCATTGACCAGTGGTGTTTTAGTCTTTCAACAAGTCCTATTTGCTGTAGGTGCTGGGATTAATTAATTTGATTTTGTGTTGCTCTCAAGGCTAGAGCTAATGGTCTGCAGTCCTGTGTGATTATCATACGTATTCTTCGTGACCTCTGTCAGCGGGTTCCAACTTGGTCTGATTTTCCAAGCTGGGTAAGTAACATTCTTTTGAATGAGTACACAGGGTACTGCAAATAAAGCATAGGGAAATGATACTACAGTTCTTAAACATAGACTTTCTCAAGAAGTAATGCAGGGTCTTGTCTGGGGCTTGGGGATTTTTTTTCCCCAACAAATAATCCAGATGCCCTCTAAAAATTTAAATTTCTGAGGTTTTTGACATTCAGAACTGTATTCTTTTTTCTCCCAAAAGAAATTTTCTTGAGCTTTTGTATTCTTTCTTGGTAGCATTCTTATTCTAGATTTTGGCATTTTTTTCCTTTACTCTGTATAAAAGAATTTTTTTTTCTAATCACGTACTCTGAATTGCTTGGAGTTTACGAAAACGTAGTTAAATTAATATTACCTGTGCCCAGATAGTTCTCTAATAATAGAAAGGCTACTTGAAACAATTCCTGTAATCATTAATGTGTCCCTTGCACAACACAAAATACCACAGTACTTCAGTACGAACTGTGGATGTGTCACCATTAGCATTTTAATCAGTGTCACTTAAATCTCTGGCTTGTACATAGTTACCTCTCCTAATTATTGCAGCCAAGTGTTCCTGTAGCATTCCTTTTGCGTTCACTATGTTAAATGATGCTCTGCAGTGGTGCAGCTTGTGCTCCAGATAGTAACAGGTGCTCAATCTGTGGACTGGACAAAGTCAGTATGAAATAAAATCTCTGAAACATGTATCATGCGAAAGTCAATTTAGCTCTGACTGCTTTGTTTCACAGAACAAATCCTGTTGCGCTATCCTGCTTCCTTTTCAGTTTTGGCAGGGAGAGCGTTAACATTGTCAAGACAGTTTGAGCAGTTGGCATTATTTCAGTGAGAAATGTTTTAGAACTGTGCTGAGCTTGTAGACAATTTTATTAAACTACTTCTGGTAACATTTATTTGATCTAGGAAAAGAATGTGGAGCAGTTACTTCTGGTTTTTAAATATTTAAAGTAAAAAACATTATTGCCAGTTTCTGTGCTACGTTTCATGAAAGATACACTGTTCAAACATAGTTTGAACTAAGTTACATAGCATGACTAAGTTATCAAAGCATAAACCCTGGCATACTCTTAGAAAAGCTTCCTTAGAACTCTTGCAACACACAGCAGGCACATAGGTGGAGAACAAATGTTCCTTTTTCCTCACATTATATGTTCTAAGACACATCCGGAAGGGAGGGGAGGCATGAAGCAGTTCAGTCCACAAAAAAGTGATTCCTTATTTGCTCCTGGTACCTGATGCATTATCAGTGTCATAGATCAACACTGAGGTCTTGTGTAGTCAGCTGCACCTTTGGCCAATTAGCAGTGTTACTGATAAAAGCAATAAAAGAATAAAAATGGTGGGTTTAAATATGTGTAATTTTTGCCAGTCACAGATGGAGTTTCATAGGTTGAAGAAATATTTCTCCAGATACAGAACTTCTCCTAACCTGTGTGCTAGAAGTCTACCTAAATCGAAATTACAAACTAAGGAGATGTCAGAGCTTTTCAGAAAGAACCTAAGTAGTTGTAAAAATAGAAGGTATTAGGAAGTCTAAATATGGACACTAGTAGCACTCTCTTTATGTACCCAAAAATAAAAACTAAATCAGAAGAATTTTGTCAACCTCCTACAAGTTAGAAGGAACTATGTGCAAGGTTGATTTTTCAGACCTGAAATCCAGGTTTCATGCACACCAGCACCAGGGCATCATAACTGACATTTTCCTAGGATTAAGTTGTATGTTGTAGTGTTTTCTGAGGAGATCCAGAAGAACCAGACTCGAATCAATGCAAATACACGATCTACTTTTTTTCTTTCATTCTGTATTTTGCACTGTACTTGAAAGCAACTAAATTAGTGTTGCTAAATGCCAAGTGATGCAGTGGAAGTATGGAAATGCCATGCTCCAGAATTGAAATCTGTCAGTTAAAAGCTAAAATAGAAAGGAATGTGCACCCTTAGTGAATGATTGTAATCAACACTGCCTGTAGGTACTTGAATGTATCAGAATAGGCATTTGCTCTTGGAATGAAAGGCAACGTTTTAACAGTTGTTCAAAACTCCCTGGGAAAAAGGAGGACCAAAAACCAAGAAAGACACATTGTTTGAGAATTTAACTTGTCAGAGACATAGTATTGAAACATCCATTTAATACTAGAAAAAAAACGCAAGGAAAGCTATTCTTTACTTTTGCAAGTATCTTTTACAGGCTTTTCTGCAAAAAGTATTGTCTAATAAAAGTAAACTATGAAAATATTTACAGAAAAAACAGTATTTAAAATACAGATAATTTAAACAATTTTAACTAATATCAAATAAATTTTAGAAAACCTGTTTATCCTCAAGGTATTTATACTTGTTTAACATCTGAGTTAAGTGTTAGCCTTTATCCAGAAGAAAACTTCCTGTGAACTTCAGTCTTGCTAAAGCGAAGAACTAGTAACCACTTAAATGGTTGATGCTTTAAGTTTCTGTAGTCTTCTAGCAAAAAAAAATTGTATGGTATCCTGTTAATTTCATTATATATATTGTGTGCTGTTTATTCATGTGGCACTGTGTTTCATACCCTCTCAAAAAGCTGGACCAGTTATCTACCTGCATATGTAGGCTACTAATGTGTAAATTTCTAAACCCCTTTTGAAAAACTTGTCATGGGAAGCAGCATATCAGTATCAATAGTCAGTGTTAGATCTTGCATCAGCTTTCTTTTTATTCATCTTTATAACATACCTGATTTGGTTTCCATTTCAACCAAAAGTGTTCTGTCTTTGATGAGCACTTCCAGCCTGGAGGAGGCTCCAGGGAGACCTTACAGCAGCCTTGCAGTACCTGAAGGGGCTACAGAAAAGCTGGGGGCAGACTGTTCACAAGGGCCTGTGGCAATAGGATGAAAGACAATGGTTTTAAACTAGAGTAAGGTAGATTTAGAGTAGATGTTAGGCAGAAGTTCTTCACCATGAGGGTGGTGAGATCCTGGCACAGGTTGCCCAGAGAAGCTGCGGAAGCCCCTCCCTGGAAATGTTCAAGGCCAGGTTGGACGGGGCTGTGAGCAACCTGATCTAGTTAAAGATGTCCCTACTTACTGCAGGGGTGTTGGACTCGGTGATCTTAAAAGATTCCTTCCAGCCCAAACACATTTGATGATTCTATGATTCATCAGAATTCTGGATTCAAAAGTTCTGTACTGAACAACAGTAGCAGCTTTTTTCAGTTTTACTACATCTTCTAAGTTGGCTGCATTTTCTTATTGTTGGTTTAGGCTATGGAACTGCTTGTGGAAAAAGCAATTAGCAGCGCTACTGGACCACAGAGTCCTGGGGATGCACTGAGAAGAGTTTTTGAGTGTATTTCTTCAGGAATCATCCTTAAAGGCAAGTTGCATTTCATCAGCATCTGTATACTTAAGCTTGACTAATATGAAATGTGTAATCTTGGTTGAAGTGAGGTAGAGATGTGCTACTAATTAGCTTAACCATTGTAGGTGGTCCTGGCCTTCTGGACCCTTGTGAAAAAGATCCTTTTGATACACTTGCTGTAATGACAGATCAGCAACGAGAGGATATTACTTCAAGTGCACAGGTAAGGAAACAAATACGTGTGAAGTAACTAAATTTGATGGCTGGTTTTGGGAGTGGGTTTTGGTTTGTAATTTTCGTTTGATTTTTTTTAGCTGGAGCTATATAAAGAACATGAATTTTTCTTTCTTAGAATACAGTCTGGTCTTATCAATCTTAAGCTAGGCAGTGAACATGTCAACACAGAGGATGTGCACTAGTGCTTGTTTTTGCACTAAAATTGAGAAGCACTCGCATCTATATATCTGTGAAGATGTTCACTCTACAGCAGTATGTTACTAGATTTAAAATTACATTGTCATTTAATATTTTATAAATTAATTTGTGTAGATTTTATTTTTAATATTTATTGTATCCCCTGACAGTATTGACCACTCACACTTGGAGTTTAAGAGGTTACTGCCTCTACCTCTTCATTTGATCCCTTTGGTAAAGATTACTAACATTTAATTCAACATATGACAAGCCTTGGCTGCTTCAGTGGAAGTCCATGCACACTATTTTTAAGCTAAGATGAAGCAGAAAATGTGACATACACATTTTGTTGCATGACTTTGTTGAGGGAAGGGAGGATAATGAGAGCATAAGGATAATACTAATGTTCTTCATTAATTATTTGGCAAGTATTCAAAAATGACATTGTTTCTCACAGAAATACCTTCTCTCTCCCCTTTTTCTAGTTTGCACTGAGACTCCTTGCATTCCGTCAAATACACAAAGTTTTAGGAATGGATCCGTTACCACAGATGAATCAACGCTTCAACATCCATAATAATCGTAAAAGGAGAAGGGACAGTGATGGGGTTGATGGATTTGAAGCAGAGGGGAAAAAAGACAAAAAAGATTATGATAACTTCTAAAAATGTTTGTCAACAGTACTAAGATCAAGGGTGATAAAAAGTCCATTTGTTGCCTTGCTTTTACTTCATTCATAATAATGTCTGCTTAAAACATCCACAACCAACTCGGGAGTAAGATTTGGAGGAGAACAACCTGTGTCTTCTGTGAGATTCTGAATATTTTAATGGATGTACTGTACCAGACAAATTATGGATGGAGAGACTGCAAATGGAAATTGTGATATTATAGAAAGAAATAGTTTTCTCTCATTGCATTTTTAAATGTGTTGCTAACTTCTAGTAACTTTTCTTCTTTTTTTTTCTTTTTTATTGACAAGTGCGTTATCTTCTTATCTTTACTGTATTTAATGCAGCCTTTGTGCTTCTGTTGCTATGTGTATTTTGACTTTCTAGGTTTTTTTAGTTTGCCTTTGACACTAGTTGTATAAGTTACTTTGTGTTAGGTAGTCTAAACTGCCCCTCCCAATTAATATTTTACAAAAGTTTTTTTGTAAAGTGAGACTGCAGGATTGTGTTTTTTCCTAAATGTGAAGGGGTTACAACACATAATTATCCTGCCATTTGAGCGCTCAGAATTAAATGTTTTTGCCAATCTTGTGGCATTTGTCTCCTTAGTGTGATATAATGGTGTAATTAAGACAGATTTGTGTTAATCTAATCAAGTTTGCTGTTAGTTGTGCATTAGCAGTATAAAAGCTAATATATACAGTATGGTCTTGCAACAGTTGTAAAGCAGCAGCATAATTGATCAGAGTTTTGCATGATGTTTTGTTCTTAAAACTACCATTTTAGGTTAAATGCGTAGGTCTTTTTATGATTGATTTTGTGACATAGCAAGGCCAAAAAATAACTTTCTGAATTTCTTTTCTCAATATACAAGCGAAAGCAGGCATTTCCCATTTAGACAAAGTTAGTCATACTTTTCAGCCAACTTTGTCAATATGATATTAATGCCTCTCAGCCCTTAAAATAAATGTTTGTCATATCAGTGCCTGTGAAGTTATTCCTTATAGCTATTCCTGTATAAACTTTCTGTGATTTTTTTTTCAATAATTCAAATTTTAAAAGTGAAGTATTACTGAAAAAGTGAAGGTTATCAAAGAAAAAACCCAGAAAATTATTTGATGTGGCCATAGTGTATGCTTATGTCTCTTTCAAAAAGCTAAATATAGCAGTGGTGTAAGTAAAGTTACATCATACTGTTGATGTATGCTCTGGTACACAGGTGTGATTTGTTGTCACAGCACTACAGTGGAATACACAAATAAAAACAAATTTATTAAATTACTAAAATTCATTATACACTGGAAACTGAAGGTTCATTCATTCTGTTCAACGTGTCATATGCTTTGTTGCAAACCCATAAAACACAGGTTAACACATACTGACATGCCTATAACTACTTTATCAATGGCTGTAGGAGAGTATCACACATTACAAAGATTATTTCTGGTACCATTTATTAAAAAGTTTTGTTCCATTTTCAGGTTGAATTTATCTTTGACGTTTTTAATAAGTAACTCTTGGAGTAAGGGGATATTTCTGTTTGCAACACTTACTGCTAACAGCATGGGCCTATGGAATAAAAATACAATATTTTAGAAAAATAGAGTGTGAAGACTTAAAAGAGTTTAATGCAGTGTTCTTGAAGCATCAGAGTGCAATTTGTAAGGGAGTGATTATTAGTGGTTAGCAAGTAAGAGGAAAGCTTTCTTATTGTAGGGATATTTTCTTGCTAATTTCAAAATCAGAAATATAGAAGGCAGAAGTGCTTTGAAGTGTCTTTAAAAAAAAGATTGCACTAGTTTCCGTTGTCCAGCCTTCATGCATAGCTCCAAGCATATGCTAGTTCTCAGTCTTTTGTTAAGAGAATCTCTTGCTGCCATGGTGTCTAGTTAGCCATTACTATTTATTTTGAAAGCTACAGGTGCTATTCATGTGGCTAGTTCAACTCCGTACCAAAGTTTCTTTCCTCATGAAGCAAACTTGTGGCATGTGACCCTAAAATTTTGGATTAAGAAGGTCAAATATGTATTTTGGATTTCCTGTATTTTTGTTCTACTGGCTTTTAACTCTTAACCAGTTTCTGGATCTTTTGAAATATTGTATACTTAAAGTGATTCCACATTAAACATGAAGCTGTGACCATGATTTTTGCACTGTGTGGTGAAGAGTGAATTCACAGTTTGTTTCGGGTTTTCTTGTCCCTTTTAAGTGGGCTATTTGAGGCATATTCTGACTCATGTTAACCTAAGATGAATAGAAAAACAAGGCTTTAAAGAATACAGAGCTAGCTTTGACTGGAAATATTACACTGCACTTAGGAAGACAAAACCAAGACCAAGTAATCAACTTATAAGATATTAAAATTATTATTTAACTATTCATATTTTGGTAATGCTGGCAGTTTACTAATGAGCAGTGTACAGCAATGCTGTGATTCTTTGATCGTACACAAAATAGAAATGTATGCAAAGAATTTTCCCCTCAGTGCTCACCTTAGAGGAACAGTTTGTGAAAATGTGAGCTGTTCTGTTTTGAAGTTTTTTTTAAAACTTCAGCTTTTCTGCCTAGTTCATGAGTGTGAGCGCTGTCTGTGAGCAGTGTGGTTTAAAATGGATTCCTATGTAGAGGCACTGCTAGAAATGAAAGTCTGTTGGACATAGTCCATCAACTTCTTGCCCTTTTTTGAGATTCTAGATGATCTTATAGAGCTATTTAATGTGATGTGTTCATTTGCTGCTTCTATTTTTAGACTTATTTCACTAGTCAGAAGTGATTTAGTAGTACTTAAAATTGTACCCTAGTAAATTTCTGAGAGTTGGAAACAACTTTAAATATTTCTACAGTGATTTGTATGCATATTTAACATTCTTGTTTCTAGTTGAATATATGTTGATCCCTAGTCTCCTAACTGTTCACACAATGCCAGATTAATTTCTTTATTAAACAATTAAGACTTGTTTGGACTACCCAAATGAATTTTAATAGCATAACATTAATAGTAGAGGGGAAAAAATGTAGTAGGCATAATTGAGTACAGTGATAGATTCAACAAAAACATGTTTCCCTTCTTTTTGTGGTTTTCTTCCACTTTGACAGGTGTACGCCAAAGAGCTTTCTAGAGGAAAAAAAGGCTGGTAAATTAAATTTCTCCTGAGACATCCTTTTATAAATCTTCTGAAGAGTTCTTTTTTTTCTTCAGCATGGTATTGCTCAGCCTTTTAAAAATGAAACAGAAACCACATCTTCAGGCGACAGAAAAAAAATGAAAGGAGTACCATCTACAGAGTTATCACAATGGTTTTGATTTTCACCCAAATAACAAACAGGCTTCATTCTGTAAATATCTGTTAATTTGTATTCTTCCATTTTGTTCTGCATTCTAATTTGGCTTATGAAAATGTTCCTATATATTCCTAGTACTGTTGTTCATTGAACTCCTTTCTGGTGTTTTACAGTTTGCATGTGAAGAAGTGTTGCTCTGATAATTCTTGGCAAGTATAAAGTTCCTACCAGGGTGAAGGTAGTTGTCTTCCATGGGTAAATGATCAGCAGCTGTGGCTGGGCATTTTTTTTCCTGCTCAATTTCCAATTTAACATAGCCTTAACCTATCCTCCTTAGCCAGGGTCATCATTAAGAGTCATCTTCTTTAATACCTGTGCTTTCTTAAACTATTTTGCAACTCCATGGCCACTAATATTTATTCTGAAACCAGTGACTGATTTATTGCAGGGCAGTTTAAAGCCTATCAGCTTTTAGAGGCTCAGCCTAGCTTAAAAACTTTCATGTATATTCTACATCAATCCTATTTCACATTGAGTTCCTGAATCCAAGGGAACAGAATGGCATCGAGAAATGTCTACTGATTTTTGAAGTTTCCTGTGTTTAAAAATCTAAGATTGCAGGATAGCATAGCTGACCAAAAGGAACGTCACTTTTCTGATGGTAAAAAATTACTTTAACATTAAAAGAGAGGCAAAAAACCTCCTGCACGTACAGGAGAATCACAAACCTTTCTCCTTATGTAAGTTTTTTCTTGCCTTTCTGCATGGTGCATCGTGTTTGTGTTAATTATGTGCATATACGATTAGGAAGTTCCATCCCAAATATCTAACACAGCCTCATCACAGACATAACTCCTGGCATGCATTTGAATTTGCCAGTAATTTGGTGGTTATACAAATTAATGTATGTTTACTAAGACAGTGAGCTGAGCTGCGTTGCTAGCAATGCAATGGGAGAGATGAAGGTGCCTGAACACAGCAGTTTACTGTTATTTTACGTGCTGCTCCCAAAGGGGATGGGTTTCTTGGAGGGCCATGCCCGTAGTTTCCAGCCCCATATGGATACCTTAGGATGTCTAGAATCATAGAATCATAGAGTGGCGTAGGCCTGAAGAGACCTTAGAGATCATTTAATCCAACCGCCCTGTCACGGGCAGGGACGCCTCTCAACTAGATCAGGCAACACCATGGAGACCAAAGGGGGATCGAACCCGCAACCTTGGTGTTTTCAGCACCACGCTCAACCAACTGAGCTAACCGGCCCCAGGATGTCATCGTATACATATTTTAGCAGGAAGATGTCTGCTCTTTTTCTATTTGATGGTCAATTGCCTCAATAGCTGCCTTTTTCCAGTGAAAATATGTAGCCTTTGAGTGGCCAAGAAGGTCAAAGGCATCCTGGCCTGTATCAGAGATAGTATGTCCAGCAAAACCAGGGAAGTGACAGGTTTTGGCACTGCAGTACAAAAAAGCCATTGAGGTGCTGGAGCAGGTCCAGAGAATGGCGACGAAGCTGGCGAGAGGTCTGGAAAGCATGTCTTTGGAGGAGCAGCTAAGGGAGCTGGGATTGTTTAGTTCCGAGGAAAGGCGGCTGAGGGGAAACCTTATGGATCTCTACAACTACCGGAGAGGAGGCTGTAGTGTGATGGATGTTGGTCTCCCAAGTAACTAGCAATAGGATGAGAAAAAATGGCCTCAGGTTGCACCAGGAGGAGGTTTAGATTGGGCATTAGGATTAATTTCTTTACTGAAAGTGATGAAGCATTGGAACAGGCCGCCCCTGGAGGTGTTCAAAAAACATATAGATGCACTTTGGGTCATGGTTTAGTGATCATGCTAGTGCTGGGTTCATAGTTAGAACTGATGGTCTTAGAGGTCTTTTTCAACCTTAATGATGCTA